AATTCGATAGTGAGAATCATAAAATTTGATGATGCGTCGAGTCTTTTTCTTGGGGCCATCCATCATGTCTAGCGGTGTAGGAGCCGGTACATTTGCTTAATTAGCTTGCTTTTAATTCAATGTATGTAGGGAAACAATTTCATATGGGATGGGGTGTAGTACTACTGTACTAGTACCATCCATGAATCATAAAACTCATGCGTGTGTAGTACATATTTGGTAAATATGAATATCTGGCTCCAAAAAACCAGCTAGAAGCCTAGAACCAGAGGTTTTATGATCAAGTTAGTTTGCACCTTGATCATAAATATATTTGTATAATTCATTTACCGATACCAAAAAAGTATAAATATAATATTTAATTTAAAATTTTGACTGAATTTTATAATAAATTTTAGAGTTCATTTAATTCATGGGAATAGGAGCTTGGAGTTGAGTTGAAATCAAAATGGCCCAGTCTGATTTCAACCGTTTGATTGAATATGATTCTCATTCTTGGTAGAGTGGCCATTTCCTCTCCTTTCCTTAGAAATGAGATTTCTATTCTAGCCAATTTCAATTCCAATTCCAATTCCAATTCCCTTCTTAACCAATAACCAAATAGATAGGGGAATTGACCATTCCCATTCCGGTTCCAATGAATTTCAATTCCTCTGATTTCAACCGTAAACCAAACGAATCCTGATATTTGGTAAAAAAAAAAAAAAAACAAAGAGAAATCCAATGATAAAGCAATATTGGAATTTAGCATGCGTCTTCTTTGCTATGTATTACCAAACGTGCTATAATAAAAGAGTAGATGAGAATGAGATAGAAGACATAAAACTTGTATGGCCCACAAGTCATAACGTTGGTAGGACATAAGAAAAGATGATGTAGTTGATTTGCCTGTTACGTGCCAAGTGCTAATCCCTCTCAAATGAAATGCCACATTTACAACCGTCGGATTGTTGTGATGGTACAACGTACGAGTCTGTCTAAAATCCAAAGGGAATAGTTGTGGGCTTGTGGCCTTCTGGGTCTTCTGGACTAGGAAACAAAAACGTGTCGTGTCATATCATTTAAGTGGCCAGCCAGCCAGCTACAGATAGTACTAAATTGGCAATATCTCCTTGCACCTGGGACGGACTTGTATTTAAAACAACATTTGGTGGTAACACTTCACCACTGCTAAGTGCTGGCCATCCATTCTAGCTATGTGCCCTGTCTGAAAGGCAAAATCCATGGCTCCCACCCTACAAGAGTAATTAGCTTTGGCATATCCACCAGATTCTGGGCCGTGTATTATTCACTGTTCAGACTCTGGAGAAGTCATCACTCATGAGTCGGATATATCCACCAGATTCTCCTCTATTAGTATATTTATTTGTTATCATGTACAGTATCAGTGGTTTAGCTTCTCCAATAATTCCATAAGATATTTTATCAAACCAGGGTTACCTTCTCTCTTATTTGTCATCGTTTTTTTTTTTTTCTTTTCTTTTCTTATTTGAAAAAAAATATATAGAAAATACAATGCTGCGGTTCTCTACATTTTTCTTTTTGTTTTTTAAATTGCAAAATTTACTCGTGCTAGAGGGGGGTGGTCACTGTTGAATTTTATTAAATCAGTGAGAAGGTGACTTGGAAGGGATGTAAATTAAAAATCTAACCTCTTGAAAAAATTATAAAAGGGGTCATAAGCTCATATACACAGTTAGCTAGAAGCCTGATGCACCCAAATAAGCTGATTTAATTTAATTTGACTCGTAAGAAAACTATACCACTGCCTTGCCTTCAATGATCACAAGAGAAGCTTATTTAATTCCCACTTGGTCCTGGGATTTTCTCTGGATACCCCACACGCATTTAATTTCATTAACTTACCTTCAGTAGGTAGCACTGAGAGACCCAAGGTAGAAAAGGATAGTTTCTCCTCCATATTGAGAGAGCCCGTGAACCTAAAAAGTTTGGTGCCACTTGTGAAGGCCTTTACATTGTGCAAGAGAAAACCAAGATAGGAGGAAGAGGTTCATCAACCCAAAACGCCTCCTCATCAAAAGTTTTAGCCCTTTGAGCTACCTCATGGGCCAATCTATTCCTCAACCGAGGATTATATCTAAAAGAGATTTTAATATTTACAGACAAAAAAAAAAAAGAAAAGGATGTAAGGATGTGGTCCACCAAATGTTATAGATCAGGGGGAAGCTTGCAACTCTACCACCAACTCTGACGTTTTTAAGGCCGTGTTTGGTTGCAATGCAAATAAATATATGCTGATGTAAAATCATGGTAGTGCAAATGATTCGAGTATAAATTCTAATCTATATTTATTTTAAATTTTAGTTTATTTTATTTGATTATAATACAAATAAAGTAAATTAAGACATGAAGTAGAATAAAGTAAAATCCAAAACAAAATTAAACAAGAATTTTCATTTGTTATATTTGCACTCCCATGCATTTATACTAGTGCAAATAAAATTGCACTGCAACCAAATACAGCCTTAAAGAATGTTTTCTCCCTGCAGTCGCTACATAGACATAGGCATAAGAAGCTGTCCCTGAGTGGCTAAGGCCGCCATCACAGAAAAACACATAATCAGCATCTTTAACCTGAATATTTTTTCTGCCCTACGAGCCCAATCTTAACTGATTTGGTTCTTTTTCTGAATGAACTCCCCTATTAGATTCGATAACTGCCCAGCACAACAGAGAGGTCTTTTCTTTTTGAGAAGGCATCTTACTAACTTTGGGACAATAAGATATGAACAGATTACATTAAGGCTGTAGGCTGTGTTTGGTTTGATACAAAAAATGGGGTGAGACAATTTGTTGCATTCTGATTTTTTGAATACAAATTTAATTGGCATGCCAATGGCATAGTATTAAATACTGTTAATATTGATTATCCCCCCAATTCTCCTATATTTTTTACCCTTGACAAAATCACGTTAGGATTTCTTACTTGTTTTGTTTAAAATTATTATATTGACTATTCTCATTTTTTATACTTTTATCATCAAAATTATTAATTTCTATTACCGAGGCCAATGAATGGTATTGGTATAACAGCGGACAACGTTTTCTTTATTACTTCAATTTGGTAATTAAATTTTAAAGGTCATAGATCATATTCATGAAGCCGTCCGTGTGCTACGGACCATAAGGCTCTCCACGTGCAAGCTTTTCTTTTTATTTTTTTTTTTAACTGTAAATTTAGGTTTTAATCATGTATTTATTTATTTATTTATTTGTCTTCATACACAAGGCCCAACTATCATCAGGTGTCCAGTTCTAATCCTATGAATACTTTGGTCCATTTTGGAATGGTCAATTTAATGTTTGGACTCTTCAATCTATTTAATTTGGTTTTTATTTAGATTTGTTTCAATCCAAATTTGGTCCATTAATGTCTATATTCTTATCTTTTATTAATGGATTGGATATTGGTTCAATCTGACCCAATTCAATATAAATTCATTACAGATGGACTAAGTCTAATCCAATCCAATAAATACTTACGACCATAAAGTCTGGCCTGGTCCAATTCAATATGTCTTATTGGTCTGTCCAATCCGTCCAAATTGATTTTGATTTGGATGGATTTCAACTTTCAACCCAAAACTGGTTCCTTGACACCCCCAATCATCATCTTACTATCCCGATCATATGGGGTCTGTTACATGGATCTTGTTTCACCATTCTCTTATAATCGGTCCATGGGCTATATGCTCTGCATGGTTTTATTGGTGATCTTGTCGGTCAAGTGTTATGCCACCCAATACCATCCATAAGCCACCAAAATGCTCACTTCTGAAACCTCCTCCACACCACCATCCCTACCCACCACCAAAGAATACACATTTTCTAAAACATCACAATTATCCTGCTTTTCCACCAGGGCCAAATCCACCACCAATACAACCTCAGCTTGGACCTCCACCCCCCATTTGACTACATATACCAACCACCTCCTCCTCTACTAGCTCTCACAAGTACACCACAAGTTTCAGGTGATACCTGTTTTCTTCTACAAATCTCCTCCACCCCCCAAAATTCACAAACACAAAAACCCAACATTGCCATCACCTCCTATTTATGATGAATGCGTGTCACCACCGTCTACGCCCAAAGTTTTGCAGAAGCAAATAAATATTCGCCCTTTTTCCCAGCTACCACGTTCCTGAGCAACCGCATAGTTACTACACTTTACAAGCCTGTTAAAGAGACAAAACCGTCATAAAAGATCAACGACTTAAAGAGGTCATTGTTCTAGCATGGTGACTACTGACCAAGTTCCTAGTGCAGTGACAATGGAAACAATGCACCTTGACCATGTGTAATGTCTTTACACACAAAGGTTTTATTTCTCTGTAAAATGCAAGAGGTCAACGTGAAACCATTTTTTGTGCTAACTCTAAGGTATCTCATCCAACTATACATGTTGAATCAGCTTTTTATTCCCAAGTTTTAGGTTATTGGTGTATATTCCACTCAAGTCATGTCAGGCAATGGATACATGCATAATGAATTTAGGGTCTATTTGATATGTAGGAATAGAGGTCTAGAATGGGAATTAGAATGGCCCATCTCGGTTCCAACTGTTTGGTTGGGCGGAATCGAAACCCCATTCTCATTCTTGGTGGAATGCCATTCCCTCCCCTCCCTAATGAAAATCGCACATAGAACAAATCATTGTGTTAATGTGAGTTGTCTCCTCGTTTGACTTCCCTAGAGAACTGCAAATCGTGCCTGTCTTCTGTTTACCTTTTATGGAACAAAGGCTTTCGTTGTGAGGAGGTTAGAGTAGCAAACAGATTGTGGCTTGGTTGATCACAAAGATAAACATCTTTCCAGATATCAATAATATCTTTGAAATTTGGAAGTAAAAATTTTAAGATGTTGATTTGAGGTAAAATGCTGAAGGATTAACTTCAGCTTGAAATGGTTGAGATTACAGTCAATTGGTTCCATCTGCACTGGAAATTTCCCAATGAGCCCAATGAACGTCAAATCCATCAAACAATGCCCCTCTAAATGGTAGACGTGTTTTCTAATGTGTTGAATGACAAAGTTCTACATTTGCATTTCTGTGGAAAAGAAAATGGATCACGTTACACAAGGCAATTTACAGGGGACCTCTGGGTATATGAACTATGAAGTACCCACCAAGTCAAGACTAACAGCTAATACAATCCGATTCATGATACATACCTTTCACATATTTCCCTCCTCCGATTCCTTAACCTCTATAATTTACTGAACCTATTGAAGAAAATGGCAAGAAAAGAAAAGATAACAAAATGGGGAAATGAATCTCCCTCAATCAAGGGGGACATGCCGCTAGAAATGTTACAAACCAACTTGCTCATCGGTTGCTGCTTGAACTTTCCTGTCAATAACAGGGTTACTTAGATACTGTTTATAAGAAATATTAGTGATGAAAAAGTGATCTACCTGAATCTCTTGGGCAAATTCTTCCAGTTCAACAGCTATTTCTGAGAAGGAAGGCCGCTTAGAGGGAACTGCTTCCCAACACCTCTGCATCAAGTCTAATAGTTTTGGATGTGTCTTCTCGGGAAGAGCTGGTCGAAGACCCTGACATACACAGAAGAGACCAGTGAATTGATGGATATGGATGTTAGAAGAAGAAGACTTAAGACAGATGCAAAGTTTTCTATAATATCATAAGGTACATGACCTAGCAAGTCAATTACCAGAAAAAAAAAAAAGAATAGATTTGTTTTGGACAGAATCCCCTAAAAAGAGTATGCTGACCAAAAACGCTTGAGATTGGGGTGTTAGTTTAGGCAAGCCTGTTTTACATGGACACTTCAAAATGGTGGCCTTATCCATTTGAGATTTGTGGATACACCAAAACCAACATGACACCTAGAGGGGACTCTTCTGATCTTTGTAAAATTCAAATATATGATTAGTTTCTAATACTTGACAATTTAATACAATGCCATGGATTATGACAAAATTTAGCATAATGTTGCTTGACGCTCCTGGATTCATTTTATGCTTCTGCTTTTAATTTGTTTCTGTTTTTGAATTGTTCATTAATTCTATAAATAAAAAAATCAAAATATACTGCTGAGACCTCAAATCCTTTTCCTTTTTAAAATTTACTGATCTGATATACCTGAATCAGATTCCAACACACAAATACAAGTGTCCATGTGTCTAGAGCCTAGAGCAACTGGTTTTTTTGTTTGGTATTTGGTGATATGCACCAACCCCCCTTCCTCAATATCGGTGGTTGTGGGAATCGAATCCGTGCCTATGCTGGAGCGAACCAGCTAACATACCAATTGAGCCACCTCTCAGTTGGTCTAGAGCAACTGCTTCAGGCAAAGTAAACATGTAACTTATTTCTCAAGCACAACCTCAAGAAAATCAAGTGGCCATTGTGAAGAAATAAGTGATCCAAAGCAACACCTTAAGAGGAAAGTTTAACTTTTTCAGGTTGACAGTGTAGTTGGCACTTTACTAATCCCTTTGAGATTGTATCTTCTTTTGATTTTAAGGCCTGATAGGGGGTTCTACAAAGTAGCCTTTGTGTTAGGAGCATTGTGTTTCACATGGAATATTAATTAACTTGGTTCTTATAGCTAATAAAAAATATGCCATTGGCTCTCATCCATGATGCCCAGATATAGATACCAAGATGAAGATAGATATAGATACCAAGAATCCACAGAAGGGTATGGATATGAAAATATGACATAGGGAAATGGCTCTACTAGCATCCAGTTTACTATGCTTATATTATTCTGTTACATGTAGTTTTTGAAGCTAGGTGTCATTTTTTAATGCTTGTATCTTGCCAAATTTAATAGAACTTCTACTGCATACAGAGTTTTATAGTATGACTATTTGAAAATACCATTTTAAATATTTTAAATTTCCAATGCTATAAGGTATACCATAGAAGTTCCATGCATATTAGTTGCAGTATCAGATATGTATCATGTCCAACACCAGTATGCTAGACATATACAGGTAAACGGGTATCATATGTCATAATTCTGTTTCATAGGAACATGGTTGTAGAAAGGATAAGGGCCACATTTTTCAGAAATAGAAAGGATAAAGACCATGACAAAAATTAAATTTATCTATTATAGAGATTTCACCAGGTCCTGCAAGTGGCGGATGGTATTCTCAAGCAAGGATGTGGATCAACAAAATGATCCACTTTATAAACATATTTAGTGCAAGAAAACACATGACAGCCTAAATCCAACAAATTAACCAACTAGGATTAATGGTCATACCAGAATAAGCCTCCATAAGGCTGGATACTGAAACCAAAATTTTACTATTCCTTTTCTTTCTCCTTTTTATTTTAATCCATGATTTTGAGACCCGTAACATGATGCTTTCTAACAACTTCAAAGATTAAGTTACATACAATAAATGGTCACAACCTCCACAACACCATGTTCATGGAAAAGTAACATTGGTAAAGATTAAATAAAAATTGAAATCAGAGGCTCTCTTTTGATCCACAAAAACTTGTATCAGCAGAAAGTTTCATAAGATAAAATGTTACCCAAGAAAAGTTAGATGGAAACAATCCATTTGTGTGAGTAATCTATTTCAGAATTTTGAAGTTGAGATTCTGATGTATGGTTCGGGGAAAGGTTTTTTCATAATGCAACAGCATTATACTATGTAAATTATGTAACACAAATAAATAAAATTGCAAACCTGTCTCACTCCTAGGGCAGCTTGTAAGGGGGTCATGGTATCATAAGGCACCTGCAATGAGAAAAGTACTTGCATTTAATAGGATTGTCTTCAAAATGGCAGCGTTCTTCATTCTAAAATTTTCTTTATCACCATATAGCATATGCTGCAACTTCAAGAAGTACCTTGCCTGTTGTCAACTCCCATAGTACTATTGCAAAGCTGAACACATCAGCTTTCTGATCATATGGTTGATGGTTTATAACCTTGTCCGAGATCAAAAGAGTGTTAATTAGAATGGCTCCTTAAATCATATCAATTAATTGAAATATAATATACAAGGATTTAAAAAATAATTGCTAGAAAAGGGGGACCTAGATGTTCATGCTACAAAAGGGGGAGGGGGAGGAAGATTTTAGCTTATGCACAGCATTGTAGGACATACTCACATGTGGACGAGCACACAAAAGGAAACTAAAGAAACAGTATAAGGTTCCATTCTTCCCATTTATCTAGCAATTATCCAATATGTTAATTATTGTGAAAGGTAGTCATGAGTTTGACTACAGCCTCAGACCTCATTGACCACTCTAAACCCAGCACATAAAGACCCAGGTATATAGGAAGCTGATGGAAAGTTTGATAGCCATAACCATCATATAAAAACCCATCACTCAGTGCCCAACACTATAGTACATCAAGCCCAAGCAATAGAGATGTTGCAAATTATGTGGAGTATCACCTCAGGAGCCATCCATCTGTAAGTCCCAGTCTCTGCTGTCATTACACCCTCTTGGTTTTGGAACCGAGCAACACCAAAATCTGCCACCTTTACAACCTTGAGAAAAATAAAACAACATAATTTCTTATATGCATTAGAAAGACCAGAAATACACTCCATGTATTCAATTAGAGAAAATCAACTTCCAACACACAAGTTTAAGAAGAGCCAACAAGTCAATTAGTTAGCATCATTGTTTTAAGAGAGAGTTACAAGTTGATACCAGAATCCACCAAGCAACAGAAGCCCATTCTATATTCATCAAATGAATAGGCCATGGCACGGTGACTCAGGGCACCAAACCCAATTCTTAACTTTCAATGTGGTCAAAATTTATTTAGTATTCTCATTGATAAAAAAAAAATTATTTAGTATTCTCTATTTTTTACATTACCACAAGGATAAAAGTACAGGACAACTGAAATAGGAATATATGATTGGTTTAGGATTGTACCTTATGGTTTTATTCATACATTAATGTTTAGGTGCAAAGTTTTTCCCATATCATTTTGTATTATTATCTGTCAAAAACTCAAATGATTAACCATCCAAGATATCTTGAACCAAATATAACTTAGGAGACTTACACTTGATTGGCTGACAGATGTGTTTCTCAGTCTTAAAGAACTGTTATCAATAGATAGGAGTGATGTCTTAACTCTTAAGATCTATAGGCAGTGGAACAACCAAAACAGCTACTCAGGTATTTTTATAGAAAATGCATTCTGATTATTACTCTTACCAGCACTCTGTATGCAAACGTCTTTGAATTTTTGCCAGTCCATGATTAAGCTTCTTGAATCTTGTTTATCATTCTATCTTTTCTTGCAGGACAACACTAAGAAAACATCATATATCTCTAGCTCAAGATGGTAGAATCTGAACTTCTCACTTCCCACAACCTGGTCATTTTTTCTTTGAATGGTTTATCCTTTCCTGTTAAATCTGTTGAGATATTTCAAATAATATATTTATAATAGTATAAATATATTTTATGTTTACTGATTCTAAAATGTCTTCAACAATTCTTAGAAATCTCAATGGTTAAGTCCTTTTTATCTAGTAAGAAGTCTTAGGTTCAAAACTTATTGCTTGTGAAGTAAACTCTTCGATTTTCAAATTAAAGAAATTTCAGTTGCTTGGGGGATGATGGCCAATTTTCTTGAACTTGTTAGGAGACTTCTTGAGAGAGATATTGGATTTGATGGTTCTTCAGACTACAGACACTCATGGCATTTCAAGATTGGCTAGACAACTAGCAAAATAATGGGACATCAGCAAATATGAAAAGATGTCTTGACCAAGTCACAAGACAAATGATGTGTCCCTAGGAGTGACAGTGTCTTTACAAAAAGTAATCTAAAGGGTAAAAAATGAAAGAGCTGTTACTTTGCAAGAGAAGTCACTTCGCTACCCATAAGATAGTGGTGGTCTATGAGATGGAAACACTGTCAGAATTCAGATAATCCTCTTACTCCCCTAGTGCTCTTACAATATTCTCAGCTGGGCTTTTGTTGGTGTTCTTGGTTAATTATGGCAGTGCATAATCAAAATCCAGAAATTGATCACTAATGTTCTGAAACTTGTATCCTGGGGAGAGGTTTGCATAGCCTTGTTTGTATTCACGGTTACTACTGGAAGGGTCAACTACTGTCTAAAGGCAAAATTACAAACATGCCTCAAGTTTTTGGAACTCTCTTCTTTCTTTTTACCTCCACTTTTTTCAGTATTTTTCAATAAAATCTCTATCGATCCTATCCAGTCAGAATTAATTCTTTCCCTGAACTTCGTGTTTCTTGGTAGTTGGTTCTAAGTAACCCTTATTTCTTTTATTTCCTCAAAACCTAAGTCACTTTGGCTAGCTTAAACCCTGATATTTTCTGACTTATAACCTAAATCCCTCAACCCTGCAATTTGTGGCCTGCAACAAGTCTCAAACTAGGGTTTGCATCCCATATGTCCAAAAATGCATGAAGTTATTCTCAAAGTTAAAAGAAACCCATGGCAGAACAACAGCTTAGCTGAGAATATTGCAAGAGGGGCACTAGAGCAGTGAGAAAATTTTCTGAATTCTAAGTGCTTCCATCTAATGCACCTCCACCCTTTTATATGTACTGAAGTTAAAACACAAAAAAGGGAATATCAACCAATAATCATTACCAATTAGCTTCCTTCAACTCAACTAAAAAAAGCCTTTTTTCCCTACTTCCCTACTAGATGGGATTTGCTACATGAAAACTGTTTTTTCTTTTTCTTTTTTTTATTCCACTCTATCAAGGACAATATTCATCTTCCAACATGGTGCACATTGCATTGAAAATTGAAAACTAAGTATTTCAAAACAAACAAACAACATTGTGCAAAAAACATGCATTAGAGGAGAATTCTGATATATCTTCCATATGAAGAGAGAAAGCCCATGATATAGTACTAAATTTTCAGGGCAGTCATTGAGATTGACCACCAAAGTGATTCATTTGGTGATAAGCATGGATTCTTTCATCAAAGAATGGAAACACAATAGTTAGATAAGCACCTCACAGAGTTGAGATTGTTATAGTACAAATTCCTCCTAGGAAGACCATCAGAAGACTAGGACATAAAAAAAAGGATAAATGCATCCACTGGAACTTCTTTGAAAATGAGGAACATCAACTTAGTTGATTGGGTAACATGAAATACTATAGTGCTGAAGAATAACCAGTAACAAGTTGGAGACGTTAAAAGACAACCAAAGAGGAAGTGAGTTGTAGTGGTGAGGAAAGACATATGGGTCCATTATCCAACATAAGATGTCGCCTTGGCCGGAGTGCAACAGTAAAGTAGGATAAATTGATAAACAATTTCATCATTGGTGAGTGAAGTAATATTTTTAGCATGTTGCAAGTCAACTTCAAAGAAATTAAAGGTGATTCAACAAAAGGTAAGTAAAGTAATATTTTTAGCATGTTGCCACTAAATCACATTATTCAGAATTCATGTTCATATTGGTTTGACTGAAGGGTTTTTTAGCCAGTTTCCAACCTAAAAAGCCCTTCCTTTACCAAAGCTTCAGATTGACAGTATAAGACAAGATAAACTAAGATGGATGAGTGGTGAGACTAGAACATGGTTTGAACTGTCCATAAATTTCCTAATACTTTCATGACATATTTCCATTCCCATGGATACCAACACGATACATTACTAGAATCAACATTTTCCCCAATGAAAGCTACTGGTGTTATGTTAAGTACAAAACATGGTATTGTAACATATTGGTGATAATGTTTTAGATATGTGGAGTAGCAGGTATTATTGTCCACCTAATGAACATGAATATCATATTGAGTCACCTCGAACATGAAGTTAAATCTTAGTTTTTATTGTATAATAAATTATTTGGTTGATCTATTAGAACCATTTGCAATTCTATGAGTTTATATTTTGCTTGAACTCACTCTATCATGCAGTTTTGATGATTTAGAACAAGATAATTTAAAAGGATCTACATATGCATCTTTTATCATTACATAAAATAGCATCCTATATATATATATATATATATATCATAATGTTTCCATATGCCTATAGTTTTTAAACCATTTCCATACAATGTTTCTGACATTTCCAACATGTTTCCTATGTTTTGATGGCTGATACTTCTGCCAAAACGGTCATTTTAAACCTTGGACTAGAAAGAATAGAAATAGAAACAAGTGCAATAGAGAGAACTTAGGAGTAGCCCCAATAGGTAACAAGATGAGGAAAGTCAACTGAGATGGTTTGGCTGTGTGTGTTACATGACAAATGACTACACTAGTGGGGAGTCACTTGGTTCAAGTAGAAGGGTCTGAAAAAGCAAGAGGAAGGCCAAAGAAAATAAAATGTGGGCTGAAGTGGCAAGAAAAGATTTAAAGACTTACAATTAAACAGAAAACATGGTTCCTGATAAAATACAATGGCGGGATAAGATTCATGTAGACAACCCAAATAGTTGAGATTAATGCTGAGTTGAGTTTGAGTTAACTAAATCTCATTATTAGCATTCCTAAATGCAACATACCTTGTTAGTATCCATAAGCAGATTAGCTGTCTTCAGGTCCCTATGGATTATGTTTTTATGGTGTAAATACTCCATTCCTTTACAGACATCAACGGCAAACTTCAACAATTGAGAGAGTTCCAAGACATTATGATGCTTGTGTAGAAAATCATATAGACTCCCTCCTGGCATAAACTCTGCAAGCAGAAAGATTAAACCATATTGTCAAACCAGGTCCAAAGGGCTGCTATTGGGTTGGAATATATAAAATACTTGGTGTTAACTCTAACAATACATGGCATCTTATTCATAAAGAAATTGAATGATTGAATGATGCACATAGCATGTTTGCTCAAAAAGAGCAGATGTGAATGTTATAATAGAGAACCCTTAAGTTTTATAGGATAAGGAGCATAAAAGGTTCTATAAGTTTTAGAGAGAAATTTAAGTACAAATATATGGTCCAGTGAATTGTATTTGTAGTAGTTACTCTTTCTATACAAAACATTGAATCTTGATTCTTTTCAGACATGTAAGAGCAGTTATGTGGCTCTTCTCTCTTCTCTTTATCAACTAGCCGTGACCCGTGCAATGCACGGGCTTCTGTTTTAAAGTGTATTTTTAAGGGAAAAAATGAAGTAATAGTGATTCACCGAAGTTTTTATATATTTCTAGTTCTTTACATATAAGATAGTAGAAAAAAATATTTTTTTTTTCTTTTTTTGAGTGATTGAACTCCAAACTTATTCCTTTTTATATAGCTTATATATCATGAGAAGTACAAAAGTCAACTACGTAGTATGAGAACCAACTAATGGTGGCTCAATTAGTAGGTTCTCTAACTAGTAGTAGTGGAGACCCAAAATCAAATCCCACTGCCACCAAGGTTTGGGTTTAAGGTTTTGGGAGATGGGTACCCTGTTGTGTAGCCCTATAAAGCCAAAAAATGTGCTTAGCATGGGATCAATAACCAATCTATGAAACGAATCTACATTAAATTAATAAAAAGAGAGAGGAAAACTTGATAACCCATGGAAAGGAGCAATGATTTCATTTAACTTTTATAAAAGAAAAGGATTAGTTCACCCCATGTATTGGGTGGGCAAATTTGGGTTTTGACATTATGTTTGGGTCCAAGTTAGGATTCATATTTAGGATTGGCCCCTAACCTAACCCAACCCATCTAATTTACACTCCTACTTTATTAGAGAGAGCCAAAAGGGATTAAGAGAGATTTAAGAGGAAACGAGGGAATTAATGGGGAGGGGAGATGTTACAAACATTAACTATTAAGGTGGGTGAGAGAGAGAGAGAGGAGACCAAATCAGCCCCCCCACAAAATTGCCCCCCACAACGTCCCACAGCATATCTCCACCATGTATTGGGAACATCTCCCGATGATAATCCCAGAAATGATAATGTCATCATTGGGAGATGTTCCTAGTACACAGCAAGGATGTACTGTGATACGTTGTGGGGGGCAATCTTGTGGTGGGCTGATTTGAACTCGAGAGAGAGAGTTTAAGAATGATATTGTTAAAAAGAATAAATATGGATTTTATGAGAGACAATGAAGACCCATGAGGGTTTTAATTTTGACTAGTTATAATTTTTAATGATTTAATTTAAAAATAAACCCAGAAATGATAATGTCATCATTGGGAGATGCTCCTAGTACACAGCAAGGATGTACTGTGATACGTTGTGGGGGGCAATCTTGTGGTGGGCTGATTTGAACTCGAGAGAGAGAGTTTAAGAATGATATTGTTAAAAAGAATAAATATGGATTTTATGAGAGACAATGAAGACCCATGAGGGTTTTAATTTTGACTAGTTATAATTTTTAATGATTTAATTTAAAAATAAATGTGCACATGTATGAGAAATGAGAGGAGGAGGTACATGTGAGCTCTGTGGTGAGAGGACCCCTTTTTCCTCTTTCTATTATATATATAGATTACTTCCATTCCTCCTTACTTTTATTTCCATTATGATGTTTTTCATAGGGAACAAAAAGTTTTAGAGAGGATGAAGATGTACACGAGATATAGAGGTAATACCCTATATATAGAAGATTAAATTGTATAAGAAAGTAAACTCTATAAAGTATTATAAACAAATTCAAGGACATCCCAACATGATCTCACAAAGGAGCTTTTTTTTATTTTTTATTTTGTGCACTTCTACTGCAACATCTGGTCTTTCATTTACTCTAATGCAACTGTCCAAGCCCAACTTTTTCATTTCTGATGTTAAAAGTTTGAACGATATACCATTATTTTGTTGGAAAAGGAGATAAATTCTTGTTATTATATTTTAACCTAACTGGAATTGATCTTTTTCTCCCACACATTAACAGAGTAACCTTGTCTCTTGCAAAGGTAAGAAACAAAGTGTGGTTGCAAGAAGTAGTGTTGAAGTAGAGTATCAAGCAATAGCTAAAACCACTTGTGAGTTACTATGGCTGAAACGCTTTCTCCAAGAGATTGGCATTTCTGTTAGTACCCCCATTAGATTGCTCTGTGATAATCAAGCTGCTGTTCACATAACCTCCTCAATCCTGTCTTCCATGAAAGAACAAAGCATATTGGGATAGATTGTCATTTTGTACGAAAGAAGGTTCTAAGTGGAGACATTGTAACACCCTACGTGAAATTAGAAAATCAATTGGAAAATTTGTTTACTAAAGGTCTTCGTAAAAGACAGATGGACTACATTTGCAGAAAGCTGGCTCTGTATGGTAATGTGCTTCAACTTGAGGAGTGATAGTCCCTTATTCCTCAAGTATTTAGGCAGCTTGTCAAGTATGCCACTTTGTAAGAGAAAAGGTGCTAAGTGGAGTGATAAGTACAACACGTGAATTCAGGAAATAGTGGGAAAATTTGTTCACAAAAGGGTTGAGTCGGGGAGAGTGGATTACATATGAAACAAGGTGGGATTATATGACATATACTCACCATCTTGAGGGGGAGTGTTAGAGTCAGCAGTCATAAGGGTAGTTTGGTCTTTTTTTCTATGTTATTAAAATCAGATTGTCCTTTTTATCTTTGTTTAAGTTATGTGTCCCATACTTAATCAGGGACATAATAGTCTTTGTACACCAAGACACATAACATATAAATATGAAGGTAGTCGGCTGAGAGAGGTTGATTTTCTCCAGCTGTTCTCTCTATCCTCTTCCTCTTTCCTTCCTCTTCTATTCTATTCTGTCTTCCTTATTCCAGATCTAGAACTGAACCAGTGCTAACGAACCATTAATAGTTCCCAAAAAAATCAGAAAGCTTATTAATTATTACAAAAAAAATATTAAGTAATACATCATAGCTGAACTTTAGCACACCTAATGACCAGTCAACACACCAATCATCCAAATAACCTTTTCTTCTAAACCATAACCCACCTTTGTGCCTTGAGACAGCAGGTCTTGCAAATCATACCAGCAATAAATCTGTAAAATAGAATAAAGAAGAATGAAAAATGAAAGAGAAGTTCTGATAAAGATTAGAAGAAGAGAGAATGGAAGAAAAGGAAAGAGGAAGAGAGCTAATCGAATCTTTCTCTTTATCCCTCGATTGGATTAAATATGTGCTGAACAATAAAAGATGTAAAGTTACATGAGTGCCTCTAGTTGGGCAGCTGACTCAAAGAAAATAAAAAAGAATAAGGATTGAGACCCATAAAGAAGACCCACTACAGTAGAAATAAAGCTACTAATAAATAAATAAAAACTAAGGCTTGTTCGGCCTAATCTCTCTACACCACCCTCAAGCTGAGCATAGATGTCAAATCTGCCCAACTTGCTTACATAGTGCTGTAGCTTCGCCTTAGGAACTCCCTTCGTCAAAATATCTGCTAACTGTTCTTCTGAAGCAATGAAAGGAAGACACACTTCCCTTGAAACCACTCTCTCTCATATGAAGTGTTTGTCTACCTCAATGTACTTAGTTCTGCCATGCTGAATTAGGTTAATGTTAATGGCAGCCTGATTATGATAATACAATATCAGGGGTTTATCATAAGCAATATCCATCTCATTTATGAGAGATCTAAGCCACAACAACTCTGAAACCCCATGGGCCATAACCCTATACTCTACCTCAGCTGAAGATCTAGCTACAACTGACTGCTATTCCTCCAAGAAACAACATTACTATCTATCATAGCACAATAATTGGACGTGGATCTCCTGTCATTTATATAACCTGCCCAATTAGTATCTATATAGGCCTCTAACTTCATATGATCATGCTTGTCAAAGAGCATGCCCTTCGCAGAAGTTCCTTTAAGATAACATAGCACCCTTTCTATAATGGTCATATGTGTATCTTTGGGAGCATCCATAAGCTGGCTAATCATACTAATAGCATATGAAATGTTTAGATGTGTCATACAACAGATTTTCCCTAATCTTAAACGGGGATGGGGCGGGGACGAGGTTTGCATATAATTCCCCGAACCCAATGGTAAACTAGTAAAATATACCTAGGTTTAATATTAATTTCTAAAATACCTCTAAGTTTCGCCCAAATTCTTAAAACCCTAAGATCCCATAGTTCCATTTTTATAATACCCCCAAATTGCCATAATCCAATTCCTAAAATACCCCAAATTCCCATAATCTTATTTCTGAAATACCTCAAAATTAGATGTATTTTTAGGTGGCTGCATCAGAAGGGAAAAATTTGGGGATACCCCGTTCCCGATGGGGAGTGGGTGCCTTGCCCCGCCACTGGGGATGGGGTAGGGTACTTTGGCTACAAGGCAAGGATGGGGAGGTGTCCTGCCCTATTGCCATTCCTAAGAGGTATAGAAGTTTCCCCAACAATCTCTGAAACACTCCCCTGTCAATCAAGAGCTTTCCATCATCAACTGAGAGCTTATGATTCATATCAATAGGAGTGAAGGTAGGTTTGGCACCAAGCTTCCCAATCGTAGTGAGGTCCAGCACACACTTCTACTAGGAGATGGAGATTCCTTCTTTGAATCTAGCAACTTCAATACCAAAGAAAAATATCAAACTCCTTTAAGTCTTTAATTTCAAACTTAGAATTAAGGAACCTCTTGAGATCATTAACTTCCTATGTGTAACTACCAGTAACAATAATATCATCAACATAAGCAATAATGAAGGTGACCCAACTATCTTTCCTCTTAAACCAAGCACTTGGAGATTGCTTTAAGCCATAAAGTGGCTTCT